TTATTACCTTAATGCAGCTTGTGACAGCATATATTCAGCTGTGCAATAATTTTAGCTCAATCTTTTATTAATATTTTTTTTAAATGTTAGTGGCACTTAAAGCTCGTTTATGATTACAATGATGCTGCACTTACTTTGTACATTTTCTAGTGCGCCTGTTACACTGCACTCTAGCGACTTCCTGGTAAAACAGTTCTCTTATTTCTTTTAAGTTATTTTTTTTGGCCTTTTTGCCTTTATTTGACAGGATAGTACAGAGTGAGGGACCTGCAGCAATTGGCCATGTGCTGGATTCGAACCCACGACCGCTGCGTCTGGGACTGTAGCCCCAATACATGGGTAGCCGGCTCAACCAGTTGCCCTCTTATTTCATTTTGATGTAGATTCATTGTTTTCAGTCTTGTTAAAATTTGGGGAGAAATTGTTCACAAATTCATGTGCATCTGAACGTTAACATTTTCTTATCTGTTTTCTTAGCCATTGAGCCAGAATGCTGTTTATGTGGATTTCTGTTTGTTTCTGTAATTGTTTCATATGAAAAGGAAAATTCGACATCATTTGCAAATCCCCTCCAGAGATGTATTCAACAACTTCTGGTTTGTCTCCAACACTCACTGTAACGCTACAGTGCACAGACCTGTAACTACACGTCTTGGTTAACTGAAATTCAGTTGTAAAATCGATTGTCTCTGTCATTAAACATACGTTTTTAGGTAACCAACGTTTGTTCTCTGTATCTAAACTGTCCCACTCTACATTATCGACCTTTCAGCATACACGTGGGAGACGTGAATGTGGCTGAGAGAACATTACAGCCCAAAGACATCTAATAAAGGAGTCGCGTATGTTGTTTGCTTCAAAGAAAACACCAGCATGCCTGACAAACAAGCTATACCAATGCACTGTGTCCACATTTTTAGGCCAGCGAATAAGTGGAGAGCCGACTGAGACGGAAGACAAAATGCAAAGATTAAAAGTTCAGAAAGGAGGCGACATTAATTCCACAAATCCATTCAGATATATAGTATTTTTTAAAAACAATTAAGAAATTGGGGTGTAAGGCTTTTTATATTTTGAGAATCCCTTATAACAGTTAACACAAATTACCATCAAGATAAAGTACAATAACATTAAAAATATTTTTGAAGTGAGATGTTTCTCACCTGAAGTCAATTTTTAAACAGTTATTTCATTTAAGGATTATCTTCGCCACTTTAAACAACGAAGGCGTCTTTGTGTTTCATTAATTCAAATAAAGGTAGTGGAGCTATAAATGCAACCATTTTATTAAGCTAAATTCTGTTCAGGATTTCTTCAAACTGTTTTGGTGAGGGGATTATTTAGTGGTTGAAATAAGTGCATTTATTCCAATTTGTCTGTTTTCTACTGTACAATTTTTTTGCTTTTTCTACATCATGCTTATTTCACATCCACATTTCCAAGTATTTCTATACAAATCATATGGATTTATAAAACATGCATTTCTTTAAATTAAACTTCCCCAAATCATATAAAAGAGTTGAAATCAGATTCAACCAACATCAATGTTTCAGCACCGCTTATAACACTGATGATCTAATAATATAATAACAGAACACTGAGTGCTTTTACAATTGATGTTTTTAGTACACTTTGTTGCTGATGCATCTCTGCTTCTATCATTTTATTGAAGTGACATTTCAGTGCATGACGTTAACTTGTGTTTTTGCATCTATTGGAATGCTGCTTTTACTAAGAACGACCTTTTGGAGGCTGTTTGTGACCTTAATGGAATTAATTTGGTTTAGCCAGACCTGCTTATATATTTTATATACATACATAATGGGCTATACATGAATATTTTAGCATATTATATAGTTTCATTGCTGATTTAAATGAAGTGATCAGAAGGTGGGAGTCATGCTAGTCCCATGGACGGCCACAGGGGGCAGCAGCGAGCTTGTTCCGGTTTAATGCAGCAGCATTAGCGGAAGACGAAGAAGAAGAAAACCTCCCATACACTTGAGAGACTTTACACAGGCCACATAAAGGTAAGATCTGTGCCTTATTTGACGTATTTAAAAGCAAGATATCTAACCTTTTCAAAGTTAGAAACGGTCGAGCAGAAGGGGAATAGTTTTGGAAGCGTACCTCTGTCGTCTTCCGGTGGATAGTGAATAGCGCCAGAGTCGGAACCTCAGAGACAGCTTGTAGTCTCATTTGTGTTTCTTTAATATCTGCCTTTTTTGTCTAAGTTTGGTGAAGCAGGTAGCCTGGAGGACGTCTGTTTGTCAAAGCCTCCTACCCTCAGCAGTGTGTTTAGCTTCTCGTTCCACCTGGTGGCTGTCTGATGGTCCCTGTGGAGAATGATGATGCTGTGGTTGCATTCAAGGCTACAGGTGTTTAGCTTAGCTTAGCATAAACACTAGTATTTTTTTACTCCTCTGTGACAGTAAACTGAATATCTTTTTAGGGTTGTGGACAAAATGTGTCATCTTCAGCGTTTTTTCCCTGATATTTTATGTACCAAACTAATTGTCCTAACAGGGAGACAAACAGGTGACAAACTCCAACTGCCAGGACTGTTAAAGCTCACAAATGAACACCGTCGCCTCTAGAAACTACAATAAGGATTTTCTCCTCCACGTAAATGTATTTTAACCCCCTGTCCCACTACAATGCTTTGTTTTACTTTACCTTCAATCACACATCCCACAATCCTCACCATGGTATGATCCATCCACGGTGGTTAGCGCCGTCGCCTCGCAGCTAGAAGGTCGCCGGTTCGCGTCCCGGTGAGGACATCTGGATCTGCGTGGAATCTCCATGTTCTCCCCGTGCAGCGTGGGCTCTTCCATTTCATTTGCCCTAAAACCAAAATGTGGCCACAGTGGGGTCGAGATGTTTCACTTTGCAACTAAATCTATAAAGTTAATGTCAGTAGATGGTCAGCGGATAACAGAAGGAAGGGCCACAAATGGTGAAAGTGATGTGGAAATAATGTTTGATATATCACATTTCTGTTAGCGGCATCCAGCTGTTTTTACCCAAGGGAATGGTAAATTCCCCAGAGCCAGATGATCTGAGATTCTCAGCCACAAGATTTGCAGTTCCCAATTAGTGGAATGAGTAATTATACATGGCTGGTTCAGATAAAACATCTTTTGAGTCCAGTAAGTTCTGTGAGAGAGAAGAGTCCAGTGATACCAGGGCTGGCTGATGTTGCTAAAAAATATATATATATTTCAGTCAATACTAATAATTATTGATCATTAGTAATGAAGACGAGGTTGAAAAAAAAGCTTGGAATGTCACCACTATAAAGGGATAATTTCATCAGTTTACCTGGAGGCACACGGAGGGCGACCAGGAGGAAGCTGCTGCACCGAGATGAGGTTCTACTTGATTATTATGTGATCACAAAAAAGTAGACGTGGAGTAAATATTTCCCAGCAATCACACAGATTCATCATGGTCAGCTCACATAGTTGTAATCAGGTAATTATGTAGTAATTGTGAGGTTTGGTAACTACACATTTGAGGTGCTTCTCTCATGTGCCTGTGCTCCTTCTCCTTCCTGTCTGTCCTTGGGGCGATGCTTTGAGTTCTGCTGTACGGTTGTGGTAACTCCCAGCTTGTCTTCCAGTGGGTGGTGTGTGAGTCACATTGTAAATCCTGATCCTAGTGTAGGGGGGTTTCCTGAATAAAAAGAATCCCTGACTGTCTGCTGGCATCCTCCCGACTGACCTTGATCTTGCTGTCCACTGCACTGATGCACTCTGTGAGGGAAGACGTCCACTTGCTGTGTTCTGGTTTTGATCCAGGTGTCACTGGTGTATCTAAACCAGTGAGAGAGGTACGTTTCTTTGAAGGAGATCAGAGCTCTGCTGTCTACATCTTCCGTATAGCGATTGACCACTGTTGGTGACCCCGGTCAGTGAGCCCTTGGCAGTCGGTGGTGGTTCAGCAGGACAGATACGTGCTCTGGGGTGAGGTTGGTTTCGTTAGACAGAATACTGTCCTGTAGCAGTCATTTCCATGCAGTCTTTACTGCTTCTGGAGTGGCGATGCATGGAAAGAGTGAAGTGAGATTGTGGGCTACGAGGGTTAAATCTGAGTCCAGTTTTTATTTTCTAACCTTGTTGGTAAAAGCCTGGGAGTTTTTGATGTAATGTGAAGGAGCTAGAATGGTGATGATTGGTCTTAGTGGGACTCCTTCTCTCGGAGAGTCTACAAATTAAAAAGATGGCCTACTAGCAGATACCAGAATAAGGTAATAAACTGCCTACAAAAACTGAAAAAAGACAATCATCAAATGAATATTTGATTACAGGTTGTTCGCAGGGAGGCCACCCCTTGCATGTAAAGATTCCCTAAGATGCACAAGGAAGCAGCCATGCTCACCTCTTTATGTGATTTGAAACCTTGTGTGTTGCAGTGATTATGGAGGGGGACGCCATGGAGATGAGCAGAGACGAGCTCCAGAGCTGGATCAGAGACGAGGTGACGCAGAGCGAGCTGATCTCCCCAGATGTGCTGGAGAAATGCAATCTGCTGCAGTCTCTGCTGGAGAGGAGGAAGAAACAGGCGGCCGACCTCGTGGAGCTCTGCGAGTGAGTCTTGTATCTACGTGATGCGTTTTTTTCTACATCTTGTTAAAGAATACGAATGCAGCAAATCTGGCAGTCCTGAAATAACAAAAATATCCCTGGTTTAAACAAAAAACAAACATTCTCTATCCTTAATTTTGTAATTTAGCTATCTAATACTGCAAGGGCTGCAAGGTGGCTCAGTGGTTAGCACCAGCGCCTCGCACCAAGAAGGTCGCCAGTTGGCGTCCCGGTGAGGACACCCGGGGGTCTTTCTGCGTGGAGTCTCCATGTTCTCCCCGTGCAGCGTGGGTTCTCTCCGGGTTCTCCGGCTTCCTCCCACAGTCCAGAAACATGCTGAGGTTAATTGGTGATTCTAAATTGTCCGTAGGTGTGAATGTGAGTGTGCTTGGTTGTCTGTCTCTAAGTGTAGCCCTGTGATAGACTGGTTACCTGTCCAGGTGAACCTGCCTTCACCCTGAGTCAGCTGGGATAGACTCCAGCCCCCCATGACCCTAGTGAGGATTAAGGTGTATAGATGATGGATGGATGGAACTATCTAATACATCTCTTCCATATTTATTGGCCTGGTCTAAAAACCAGCCTGTTGTGGTCAGGGTTTTTGGATTTAATATAATACAAACACTTCCAGCATCAATCTACTTGTGATACCTTGGGGCTGAACTGTTAACTGATTTCAAATCAAAATCCCAATTTGAACAGTGCCATACACAATTCTTTAAGCTGTAGTTTAAGACATATGTTATGCAGCATGTTTGCTAATCATTCAGCTTTTTAAACTGCGACAACAAAAAGCTGGTTTCTACCTCCCAGCTTAGAAACCGGCACTAAAACTTCCTGACAGATCCTGAATTCTTAATGATAACCGTGCAGGTGGGCTGAGTCTTGCATTCATTCCGACTCTGTGTGGTTTTAAAGTTTCTTAAAATAGAAAAACATGTTTCTCTCATAGCTGAGAGAGTAAAAATGTGTTTCTTGAGCTACGGTAGAAGCTCCTACTGAGGTTTGTGTCTTGATTTTCTTTGTCTTTTTAAATACTATTGTTCCATTTCCATGCTGAGGATTTTTTTTTGCAAAAACTGATTGATCTCTGTATTGGGAGGAATGTGAAAAAAAAAAAGTTCTATGGAACCTTTGAAGAAAATGATTGCGTTAATTGATAACAGACGTGGTTACTTTCAGATTTGACACCCTCATTAAACGATGGGAGATAGGAAAAAAAAACAACAGCGTATATAGGTCCTTCTCTCTTTAGTTGTTTATGTTGTGCCTGTTTGCATTTTTTGCTTCATTCGTGCCCTCTTTGATGTGGATATCATTCAGGTCCGTGGCAGTGTGTGAGGAAACCGTGAAGAAACTGTACTGTCGGCTGGGATGGGAGTACAGCGACACAGACTCTGATAATGATGGTGATGACGACGATGACAATGACGACCCCACAGGCACTAATTGTAAGACACAAATTGTTTACTCAATGGAAAAATATTCCATTTTCAACCCGTCTTTATTCATGTATTTGGTTTGAAAGCCACAACTTTCACTCTGGTTCTCTAGATTGCAGCCCTCCAGCATCCCAAGGCCGTGCTCCTCTGTCGCCAACGTTAGGAAACAATGACAACCCGCAAAGACATAATGGGGAAAAAGAGCATCACATTTTAACAAAAGAGCTTATGGTGGTCTTGACCAGATTGCCTGCATCTCGGATCGCTAAAGCTCTACGTCGACCGACGCCTCAGAGACGCTGCAGTGACGATGAATCTTTAAGCGGCGCTGAGTCAGATCAAATGTGGGAACCAGAAGAGGACTCGAGCGGCTCAGACTTTTCTCTCTCAAATTTTAATAGTTCTTCAAACAAGAGGAGGAAAATAAATAGAAAGAATGGAAAGCGTGCAGCATCCCGAGCCAGCAGAACCTCTGGTGCTAAGAGCAACGGAGCAGAGACGTCAACGCCCACAGCCAGCAAAGATATCAGCGCTGAGAAAACTGTAACGAAAACATCAACGCCACAAGCAAGCGCTTCTACGAATGAAGAAATCAAGACAACAGAGACACCCCTGGCCAAGGCAAACACCAATGCTAACAGCCAGCAAACGAAAACATCGACAATGCCACCAAGCACTAAGGGTAAGAACAGGAACGACCCGTCACGTAAAAACACTCTCAAGATGTTTTGTTGCACAGAAGTTTTCCTGGTATTGAAAATTATACTTCATCGCTCTCTTATATTTCCTTTTATTTATGTAGCACCAAATCACAACATACATCATGTCACACTTTGCTTACAGCACTTCTGTGAAGTCCTTACATTACACTAGAGAACAACCCAACAGTTTCCTATGAGAATGAAATTTTATCACTATAGTTTACAAAGTTGTGTTGTCATTTACTTGTTTTTCTGCTGAAAGTGTAGTTGGGATCCTCAGCAGGTTTATTCTCGGCTGATATATTCAACTATCTGCCTTTTTTGACAGTTATATTAGTCATTTATAGTATCCTAGAAAAGAAGACAGAGGCGACGCCGACCTTTTAATATGAGCAGACAGTTTGCTGTTTCATTATTTGTGACCTAAACTGGGAGAACTCATCCTGGGGCTTGTGGATATCTAGACATCTCTAACCCTTTTCCTGAAGTTCATTTGCATGACGGAAATTTTGCAAATGCAGATTTTGTGCTGTTTTCTTAACTGGTAATTGTCAGTGTTATCAATCAGTAATTGATTAGTTGATAACACTGGTCAACACCTATTTTGGTGCGTTTTGATTTGATGAAACATGCAGTTTACTTGTATTTACCTTTACAAATGTTTACGCTCATCAACTTTTGGATCATTTAGCTTATGAAAAGGATTAGAAAATTATTTTTTTCCTCTAAAATCTGATTTCATATGAGAAAGACTAAAATAAATCAATCACTAATGTCAAAAAATGTAATCGATCTAGTGGTAAAATGATTTTTTTTTTTTAAATTGAGTTGGCATAAAAACCTGACCTGATACAGAAAAACAGATGTCACTTATGGATTCAGTGTTGCAAAAATGTCCTAAATCAGTTTAAAAAAATCCTAGACACCTTCAAAAAAATATTTTTTTGTTACCCAGTGTAATATAAACTGAGTAACAGTGGATATTATGTCATGCACTAGTAGCAAAGAGACCACAGCTCTTCTTAAATCGCTGACCTCTGGCCAGAGGCCGTCAGGCATCACACAACACTCTCTGCTTGTTGACACACAACTGCCTCGCCTGAATTACTCCAGTAACACAACTTGCCATCACTGTGTAGCGTTAAGTTGTTTTACAGTTTTGGAACAGATTCGTAGATGAGTTTGTGTGCTTGAGCTGCAAAAATCAGTGGAGAGACAGACATGGGACTTCATCGATCCCCGCTTTGTAAATGAGGTAACAGTGTAGAGCTGCATCTGAACTATTTTGAGGCATATCACAATTGGTGAGTTGAGGTGAGTTTTTGGGGGTTTAATCAATAATCAGAGGGAATTTATACCAACATATTCTGCTCCTTCACACTGACAGAGTCAACCTCCACAACAATAAAATCAACTGATTGCCAGAGCCCTACTAAAGCCCCTCCTGAAGCGCCCAAAAAAGAGATCAGCGTGAACATGACCGTGCTGGCCAGAAGAAGGACCATGTGCTGGCAACGAGGGACAGTTATAGACTTGATAGACAAGCGTAAGAACTTTTATATGAACTTTTCAGCAGCTACAAGACAGAATATTATGATGGTAGTTATATATGTGTATTAAAAGAGTCGGAAATATTTGTAGAACAAATTTTCATGTGTGGAATAAATTAAGAGTAGTTTGTAAGGAGAACTATGTGTGGACAGTCCCACAGGTAAATCCAAAGTTAGCATGCTCTTTTGATTTAATTGTTGGCCCATGATGTGCAGATGATTTGGTTTGTGTACGTAATTCAAGACCCTCAGAAAAGAGAACTGTTTTAAAAGTTTTATGAATTAATTTTCTGTAGAAGACTTCAAAATACCGGAATAAAGGAATAAAGATATTGAGTGTGCTTATGAAAAGTTAACCAAGGATGTGGCCTTTGTATCACTTCTCTGTGACATTGCCTGGAGAGACGCATTCAAGAAAAACGCTGCATGTCGAAGCTAATTTGGCACAATATGCGTTTGTTTTTTTTCTTTTTTTCAAAGAGGGCAAGGTGAAATACAAAGTCAATTTTGAAGAGAAGGGGAAGAGCCTAGTGTCTGGTCACCACGTTGCCTTTGACTGCATGCCAAAGGTGGAGCAGTTGTTTGTCGGCGCACGTGTGGTGGTGAAGAGTCCAAGTGACGAGTCCCAGTTCTTGCCTGGTACCCTGGCTGAGGTCCCCTGCAGAAGAAACCGCATGAGGTGGGTTACTCATATGGGATGACTCTTTATGATTTAGTTTGCGTTATGCCTTTGAGACGTGTATTCACTCAGTTGTATGGGGTGTGTGTTTCTTGATTGAACAGGTTCCTGGTGTTCACGGATGATCACAGGCCAGTCTATGTTGGCTTACCTGTGCTTCGCCTGGTGTACAAACCATGTAAGTCCACACAAAACCTGCTTTTTTCTTCTTCTTTTTTTCTCCTTTTTTTTCAGACACATGTGCATCTGTTCAGTACATTTAGTGAAGATGTTTTAGAAAAGTGCTCCAGTTTAGATAAAAAAAGTTTGGACCCTATAAGTAAAGGCAGTGGATTGGAGGTATTCACAGGTCCATCTGAACCTTAGGAGCTGAGACCGGCTGTGGTAACAGCCTGCTAACGTTACACTATGACATTTATTCACATGTTCTGGGTCAGAGTCCCAGCTTTCCAACAGTAGACGGGTCTGTTTCGTATCCTGGTTGTATATCTTTGGGTGTTTTTGGGTTCTGTTGGAACATTCTGACTGCCTTTGGGCAAGAGTTGGTCAGGAAGCTTTGAAGTCAAAAATCACTGGATCTACTACTGTTGTCTTCAAAAGTTCTCAAGAAACAGGCTTCCTGCAGTGTTCAAAGTCTGACGTGGATAATGTTCATTCAGTAGAGAGGCTGTAAGAACATCCATCCGTTATCTATACACCACTTACTCCTCACTAGGGTCATGGGGGGCTGGAGTCTATCCCAGCTGACTCAGGGTGAAGGCAGGTTCACCTGGACAGGTAACCAGTCTATCACAGGGCTACACTTAGAGACAGACTTGGTTAGCATCGTCGCCTCACAGTTAGAAGGTCGCCGGTTCGTGTCCCCGTTAGGACGCCCAGGATCTTTCTGCGTGGAGTCTCCATGTTCTCCCCGTGCAGCGTGGGTTCTCTCCGGGTTCTCCGGCTTCCTCCCACAGTCCAGAAACATGCTGAGGTTAATTGGTGATTGTAAATTGTCCGTAGGTGTGAATGTGAGTGTGCTTGGTTGTCTGTCTCTAAGTGTAGCCCTGTGATAGACTGGTTACCTGTCCAGGTGAACCTGCCTTCACCCTGAGTCAGCTGGGATAAACTCCAGCCCCCCATGACCCTAGTGAGGATTAAGGTGTAGAGATGATGGATTTCCTAGTTTTGTCATTTGTTAAGTTTAAAATCCTGCAACACATGAATTTTTGGACCTATGAATATTTCTGCACTTGAAGTCAAATCATGTAAACGCTGCGTGTTGTGGCTTTTTACACAGCAAATATTTTGATGTTTCACAATAGGAAATGCACAAATGTTACTGTTTTGACTTGTTTGTTTCCTGCTGTGTCAACATATTTTCTGTGTAACAAAAAAGACAAACACCATATCTAGCATGTAGCCGTATAGCTTGTTGTCATTTATGTGGTAGTTTTTCTGTAGCAGGTTTTCTGTCCCTGGATGATGACGCCCAACTCCTGAAGTAGTCCTTTAGAGCTGTGACTGGCTCTCTTGTTTTTTCAGACCTCTGTGGTCACAGCAAACTTAATTAAATTACTGACAAAATCTGAAATGTTAGCAGAGGTAGAGCAGTAGAATGAGGTCAGAGCACTGAAAACAGGAATGATTATTTTCCCAAGACTAACTCTTTAATTTTACCTTCAGCTCATGAAACATTTTCAGCTTAATTTCTATCCACAGAATGATCTCTGGTATCTCATACACCGCCCCTGTGAACAACCTCCCTCCTTTTCAAGAGTTTATGCGAATTGGTGGAAGCGAAATCACATTCTTGTTGTCTCTGTAAGAAGAGTGACGAGTTTTTGTGCCACTTTCTATGACAGTGCCGGACCCTTTGGATGATATTAAAGACGACAACCACAGGTGTTTCATGAAGGAGTATATGAGATCCTGGCCTTACCCGCCTCAGACCCAGTACAAGGTTGGACAGACCACAAATGCAGAATTTGACGGAGTCCAGCAGAAGTGTGAGGTGGTGTTGCTCGACAGCAGCTTGATAGAGGTTGTTTTTAAGGTCAGTACCTCGTTGAATCACGAGTATCTCCAGCTGATTTCCTAGATGTTTTTTTCTTTATCCAGTTGTATTTATTTAGAGTGTGTGACTTAAATTAGTTTTTGTGTGTCAACGTGCTTAGAAAGACCAACATAAGGAGTGGCTCTACCGAGGCTCCATTCGCTTGAAACACATGGTCGATATGAAGCAGCGTGTGGAGAAGCAAATTAAGAACCAAGCAACCTCAGCTGATGGTAAGTTAAATTCTTAAAGGAGTTATTTCAGTTATTCCAAATATCTCACGTGTCTCCTCTGTCTCGTGTGCTCCAGGATCATCAACAACGACGGAACAGTGAACGTGAGGAGAACTGGATGTTTGGCCTCAAAAAATCCACATCAGTCGGTTCCTCGTTCTTTAATCATCCATCTTATTTATTCCAGAAAAGTCAGTTTTACAGACCTGTGGTCGCAGTTTGGTCATGTGTGAATATTGACACTGAAAAAATGGTTCTACTCATTAAACTTTTTCTACTTTAAAAACATGGTCTGGCAATTTTTTTTCTTTCATTTTATTTAATCTGAAAAAGTCAGTTTTGAATTACTTAGATTCCTGTGTCGATGAATGGATATGCAGGTTGCGTTCTTGTTTTATGTGTTAACATTTATTTATTTTTAAGTATTTCTATTGGAAAACGGAGACAGACCTGTGGTAGCAGTTTGGTCATGTGTGAAGATTGACTGAAAAAATGCTTCTACTCATTAAACTTTTTCTACTTGGAAAAAAAAACATGGTCCTGCAATTGTTTTTTCTTTCATTTTATTTCATCTGAAAAAGTCGAATGATATTGCTGCAGTGATGAATGGATATGCAAGCTACTTTCTTTCTTGTTTGATTTCTGTTAGAAAAAGCAGAAATACCTGCTATTGTTTTTCCACGTGGGAATATTGAAAAAATAAAATGTGCTACCAAATATGATGCACATTTTTAACTAAAACCATATTTTCGTAAAAAAAAAAAAAAAAAAGTTAGTGGCAAAATATAAATGTAAGTGAGTAAATTAGTCACTCCTCTCTTGATTGGTTTATTTACTTCCGGTTGTTCCCTTATTTAAGATAATATTTTTTTTAAACTCCAACAATTATGGTAAACCAATATCATGACAAAATTCAACATTTTGACTCATTAAATTGTTTTTTTTAAGTACATTTTGAGCCACTGAGTGAAAGTTAGAATTATGAAAGTTATGAGATGTTAATAAAAAAATAAGTGGGTCAGATGATAAACGGAGCTGGCTAAATCACAGTTATTCTGTAGTATAACATTTTTACGTAACTCAAACCATGGCTGTTTGAGTTGTACATGGATTATTCGTATCGGTAGCTGGTTCGGTAGTTACCTGTGCTTGTGTACATTCAGGACTAGCAACATTTCAGCGCAGGGAGGCGTTACAAGCTCTAGTCTGAACCAGAACTAGCTGTATTGGGCAGACAGTTAAAAAAAAAAGAAAAAGCTGGCTGCTGCTTGATAGCAACAGAGCCTTGAACGTCGGGCTTGCCACAAGATATAGGAATAAAAACTGGAACGCCACCACGGATTTTTTGTGGGACAAACGCACAGGCCTCGCTGCTAAAACGGTAAACGTTTAAATTTGAGCCCACGTTTGAGCGACGTTGCGGTCCGCACGACAGCTAGCAAGAGTAGCCGCTTAGCCGACGGCTAAGCTAAGATGGCGGTCAAATTATTTACATTAGCTAGTCGCTAGCGGGGCAATGCTAACCCGCTAGCGCGTCGCTCGTTTATCAGTTAGTTGTCTTTGAGGCTTGACGTTATTGTTAGTTAACGTGTTTCGGTTAGAAAGAGTACTTAATGCGGTGCCGTTTGCTGACATTAACGACGGTAATGGTAATTTTTACGAACCATAATGCGGCTGTTGCATCGCATTACACGGTGGGGAGAGAAAAAAAAAGCCACCTAGAAAAAAAAACACTGGCTGAAGCTTGATGAGTATTGTTTTTATAAACCTGAAATGCTAATATGAGTGTTCTCCAGTTAACGCCTAACTGAAATCGTCCGATGTTATAGTTACTATCAAACCAGTTTGTTGTTTACACTCGTTTAAAGCATCGCTGTGTTCTGGCTGAGGGGGTTATTAGTTGTTTAGTAGGATCACGCAACAGGGTTATAAACGTATATCCCCCTGTTTGGACGTTATTCTCCGTCCACATATGTGCAGGCCCGCTCCAACAGTTGTCCGTCTGGCTGCAACTATTTTTTGCGCAGGTTTATAGGCTGCATGCTTCATCTTGATGCACGTCAAAGTTGGAATGTTGAACTGTGGTTGTATTCACATGTGGGCCTCCAGTACAACCACGTTTACCAGATATATTTCCCTAACCTATTTTCGTCAAGTAGCCCCCTTGATCTGCTTTTAAGGAGCAATCTGATCTTTGTTCAAGTGCAACTTTATTTAACAGCGACGTTGGCGTTTCCAGTCCACGCTCAGGTCAATGTGAGGTGCCAATAATGACACTTTCAAGCTGATTATTCAGTTCGTTTTGGAGTACAACTGCCCCTCTTGCCCACAAATCACTTGAGTCTGGCAGTCAGCAGCTGTTCCTCTACTGGGAATATAGTGGGAAAGAAGAAAAATAGAGAGCAGGAGGTCCTTGTAGTTTTTTAGTGGACTGTATTCTTGCTCCAGACCTCAATCACATTAACGGTTATATGTCCTTCTAATGTAGATGCCTCACAATAGACGGTACTCGTCTTCGGACAGAGACAGTCGAAGCAGCTACCAGGACCGTTACCGAGACCGAGACAGAGACAGAGGGCGAAGACATCGGCACAGAAGATCGCCTACCTACTCCTCCAGCAGCGACAGAGAGAGAGACCGAGACAGAAGGGGACGAGGACACAGACAAGAAGGAAGTTATGTACGCTCAAGGAGGTATGTTTATGTATATTGTGATTTATTTTTTTGGGGGGGGGGGTTGTTACGCTATAAATGTATTTTACACTATCAGCACTTTAAGTCTGGCTTGTTAGTCTTCAGGTCTCAATGCGTGCCTCTTTCCACTCATTCAGTCGCAGCTATGACAATCGCTCAACGGAACACCGACCATTTGACCGAAGATATTGCGAGGGATACAGACGCTTGGATCCGAGCCGAGATCGAGACCGGGACAGAGACAGGGAGCCACATGGAGCAGCTGAAAGTTACTATCCACGGGACTTCACTCCAAACATGTACGACTACCGACGCGGCCGCGAGAGGGAACGTGAGCGGGACGAGTCGTACCGGCGGAAAGGCAGCAGGCGTAAGCACAAACGAAGGCGGCGTAGAACCAGGTCCTATAGCCCATCCTCCTCGGTGAGTACAGCCAGACCTGAGATTGTGCTTTACCTCTCCTCTTCCTCACTCTTTCCACCTCCTTTTTCTTTCACTCAGCTCTCTCTGTCTCTGTCTCTCCCTAACCGATTCCTTTTTACAGCCCCTGGACTCGGTAAGTAGTACAATCTTTATGATTTGTTTATGTTCTGCCAGAGGGATTTTTGTTTGTTTGTTTTAAGTGGGTTTTGTTAAATTGGCATTTTTTTGGCAGAACATTTTCATTTTTATGCAAACACTTCAACCACGAGTTCTTTTTGTTCCTGACATACACACTCACCATGGCTTTCCTCACATTTCCCTTTTGAAAGTCTACTTACATCTAGTGTCACTTCATTCTGGTTCTTTGGCACTGCCTCTCATAAATTTAGTCTTTTTTTATTTCTATAGAAAAAGGCAGAAATACCTTTGATAGCGATTTTTAAGCCATGTGTAACTTTTAGTGAAGACTTCCCGAAAAAAAATGAAAATGTTCTTCCAAACATAATGCAAAAGTTATATTTTAATTGAAACCATATTTTTGTTAGAAGTTATCGGCATTTCAAGTGACCTAGATTTATGAAATGTTTCTTTCTGTGTGGGGTATGGTTAACCACACCGACTAATTATTGCAAATGTAAGTCAGCAAGGGGTTGAAGTTGATATATATTGGGGTTATCTTAAAGTTTTTTCTACCTGAAAACAAGGTCCTGGCATTTTATCTTCCGTCTTATTTAACCTAGGTCAGTTCTGGTTTAGTTATATTACTGTCTTGATTGGTTTTTGCGTTGATGAATGGATATGCCAGTTGCTTCCTTGTTTGTAAGCAGCTGTGGTTTAAGGGTAGAGGGGGGGAGAGGAGCAGAGGACAACATGTGATCTTTGACTTGTTCCCTTGCACTATATCCCTATCGTTATATATTTCCTTCACGTGGTGTCATGCGTGAATCGCCCCATGACCACGAAACCCACCTACAACCACAACTACATCAACTACAACGAACACCACCCTCCTCCTCCCTCCTCATCTACCTGTGCCGCCCGACGCCATGGCTGCGGCTGCCCCTGAAACCCCCCTGTCCCCTCCGGTCGTGTTGTGACCTGCTGATGGCGATTTGGGTGCGAAAACAGCGGAGCGACAGCCGGACACGGGCACTGAGTGTGAGGGACGACGAGGAAGGGCACCTGATCTGTCGGAGTGGGGACGTCCTGCAAGAGAGATGTACTCACTGCCACTACTCTATCGTAACCCTTCTCCATATGAGTATTAAAGCATAGAGCATTTACATGACATGGGAGTGCCTGATGATGATGATGGTGATGATGGTGATGATGATGCTGCCTTGCTAGAATGCTCTCCGCTCTAGCTGAAATAGCAGGGTGGAATGCAAGAATGCTGAAGATTTTGAGAGAGACTTTAGATAAATTCTGCTTTTTGTTTTAGGATTTTAAGCTGTGGAGCATTTTCTGTGTTTCACAGGTTTACTTGACTTCCCTAAACGTAGAATTCCATCTGCAGCTGTTTGTTTCTGTTGTACTTTAGCCTAAAACCCTGTTACAGTTTTGAAACTGTAACTTAAGCTAGCTGTTTCCCACAGTGAGGGTCGTAGGGGTTTTTCTTCTAGCAGAAAGCTCACATGCACATCACGTATTTAGTCATTTAGGATTAGTACACCCAGCACACATAGAAACACTTTATCTCACACTTCCTCTACGTCATTGTTCGTAGGAATCAGTTTTAATCTTTTCAGTTTTACACATTACACCTGTATTCCTTTGGGCAAAGATGGCCACATCTTGACAGGATGTGCCCTCTTTTTGGATGACTACAAATTGGTCATCGACGGAAGGGAGTGCTTTATGTTTGCCCCCTTGTTTTGTATCATAGTGCTGTTCATTCAGTGATAGACTACCTCACAGTGTTTTCAGCCTGCCACAGTGAATAGGCAGCGTTTTGAGAAGGGGATGGACGTTAGCAGGGATTCGCCTGTCTACACTTTTGTATTACGTAACTCCTGCTTGAGTCCACATGTCTAATGCTCCTGTTCTTTCTTTCCCCACTCCCCCTCTCTCTTCCTTTTCTCTCTGTGTTGTGTTGCAGATGAGATTGTCAGCACTTTGGGGGAAGGCACCTTCGGGAGGGTGATGCAGTGCATTGACCATCGCAGGTGTGTGTCAGCTGAAACTGAAAAAGTAACAAAAAAAACCAACAGTTGTCAGCCTCTGGAGGTCTTATTTCCAAGACCACCAACAGGAAATAGTTGTTGACACTGTTTGATTTTTAGAAGCGAGTGTCTTTGGGCCAAATAGGATTGGGATACGAGTGTTAAACATGCACCCTTATTACTGTTATTTACTGCCTCTAGTTGGTGGAGTAGCATTTAAAACTGCTTTATTATGCTGCCTGTGTTGATCACAT